GCGGAGGCGGTCTGCTGGCAGATTCCCTCTCCCGGGAAGGTCAGCCTTTTCTCGCAGGACCTTCAACTGGGACTCGGTGGGGACCACCCCCATTATGCAGGGCAATCTGCTTTACTTGGAGTCTACGGATTTAAGTGTGAATCTCATCTAAAAGATACTGTCACAGCAACATGTAGACTAGTGTTGGAGTGAGCGGGACCAAAGCCGTGTTGGGACCTAAAACCACATGGGCTGTAGGAAAATTCAAAAGACACAGTATTTTTTCTGGTATGCATTTCTCTGAGTTCCCGCTTTTCCCATGGTTATTTGGTATTTTGAACCTTCGTTATGGGGCAAGATGACATTATTTACATAAATGAAAGGTTGTTTTCCAGTCAGCCTGAGAAGGCAAACTTGTCACAAGGCACTACTATCCAGACCCTCAGGAACAAAGGAAGACCTTCATAAAGCTATGCTGAGTCCACCCCAAATCAGGCTCCTGAGAGAACACCAAGGACGGGAACAGAAAACAGACAGAACTTGGGCCAGACCTTGCACCTGGCTCCTTGCATGGAGCCCCCAAGTCTCACATCCCCCTCTCTCCTGCTTTTCATTTCCCACGTTCCATTCCCTCAGCCCCTCTTTAAAAACCTCTCAGTAAATCTGAGTCTTGGGGATGGTTTTTGTCTGGCCACTCTCCTTTAGGCTTACTGGACAGATGGGTTAGCCCGACACCTCCCCTCAGGTCACTGGTATTCCTGAACAAAAGGTGACTTCCACTTTCACCATTTGACTTTGGGTTGTTTGTTTTCATTTGGGACAGGCAGCTGGACTTGGGTTCAGTAACAGATTTGGCAAGCCTCGGGAGGAGCTGAGTGCTCCCTGGTATCAGTGTTTGACCAAAAACTGATACATAAAATTATCCATCACAAGCAGCAGCACAGCACAATGGCTGTGTGGGTGGGGGCTACAGAAAAACAGACTTCCTTCCTTCTGCTCTCAATACAGAATACTTCACCTCTGGTCACCAAAATGTGTGGGGATTTCTCCCCAGACACAAACACTTCTCCAGGAGACACCAGCTGGTTGTCCTCTAACTGAACTCAGCTATGACTCAATTATTACCCGGAGATAGCATCAATCCCATGGATTGAGGACTCAGTCCCCAAGACTACCCCCAACTTCTGATATCAATCTAAGCACAAGTTGTGACTTGTGTCCTTGACCAACCAGCTATAAATCAGAGTTCCCATGACACCCTCCTCGGGGTCAGTTACTTTGATAGAGTGGCTCACAGAACTTAGAGAAACACTTTGCTTTTGTTTACCCACTTATAATAAAGAAGGTTACAAAGGACAGAGGTGAGTAGCCAGGTGGAAGAGATGCCCAGGGCGAGGTATGGGGAAGGGGCACGTAGCTTACGGCCGTCTCCGGCTGCCCCACCTCAGGCATCTCCTGTGTTCAGCAGTCTGGAAGCTCTCCCAGCCCTGTCCTTTTGGGTTTCTATGGAAGCTTCATTACGTGGGCATGACTAATTATATCTCTGGACATTGGTGATGAACTTAACCTTCAGTTCCTCTCCCCTCCCTGGAGGTTGGGAGGTGGGACTGAAAGTTCCAACCCTCTGATCACATGGTTGGTTCCAGGAGGCTATCCAGGAGCCACCAAGAGTCATCTCATTAGAACAAAAGAAGCTCCTATCACCCAGGAAGCTCTAAGGGACTTAGAAGCTCTGTGTCAGAAAGCAGGTCAAAGACCAAATGTTAAGACAAAAGATTCTGAGAGTGCCCCAGTCTACAATGGTTTTAGGAGCTTTATGTCAGGAACTGGGGCAGAGACAAAATATGTATTTTAGAGCACAACATCACAGGGGCCCTTGTGCTCTGGCCTGACCATGGAGCCGAGTGGCAGAATGGGCCCCCCAGGGCCAGGCCAGGGAGGACCAGGCTAGAAGCTCTGTGTCAGAAAGCAGGTCAAAGACCAAATGTTAAGACAAAAGATTCTGAGAGTGCCCCAGTCTACAATGGTTTTAGGAGCTTTATGTCAGGAACTGGGGCAGAGACAAAATATGTATTTTAGAGCACAACATCACAGGGGCCCTTGTGCTCTGGCCTGACCATGGAGCCGAGTGGCAGAATGGGCCCCCCAGGGCCAGGCCAGGGAGGACCAGGCTCTGAGCGGCGATGGTCTGAGATGCTGTGGGGGGGGGGGGGGGGGTGTCACAGTGACCTTCACAGACTGGCCTCCAAAGCTCACAGCCAGTGGGCATCTCAGCGGAGGCCTGTGGTGGGGGGTGGGTGGGGGTGTGGGCATGGCGCCTGATGGTCAGAGTCTGTGTGCCTGTTGTCTCGGCACACGAGACCCCAGAACGTCTGGCATGCACCCCTGGGCGTGGGGTGGGAGGAGCACTCAATGGAGAGGATTCTTGGGATAAAAAGTAGTGCACTGACAACCAGATTAAAAAAGCTGCACTCCTTTAAATGGTATGTTATGTATATTTACAATGATACAAAAAAATCTTGAGGAGAGAAGCTGCACTCCTTGCCTGCTGGGGAGTTGGAGGGCAACTGAGTTGCGGCCTCTGGGAGGGCACCTGAGCTTTGTCGGCCTGGCCTCTGGGGGCTTCAGCGAGGGGGTCCCTGGGCTGTGCTCTCCTCAGGGTGTGGCAAAAGTTAGTGTCCCTAAGGTGAACCAGGTGTTTACAATCGTTCATCTGAGGCTGGTTCCAAAGGTAGAGCCACTTTTGAAGAAATGAAAGTAAGTGTCGCAAGGAACTACAAGCTGGTCGAAGTAAAGGACACCCACCCAAAGGAGGTGGCAGAAAGGAGAGGGATGCTGCCCAACTTTTCTTTATGTGCGACTTACTTATAACGGAGGAGCGGAACAGGAGATAGGAGACCCCCCCCGTGTGGGGACGACCCCCTTAGAGGGGGAAGGAGATCACCATCTGTGGCTCACTCCTGTGCTGACAGCACGAGGGCCCACATTCCTTTTGGTCAGGTGCACTGAAGGGAAGCAGCCAGTCGGCCAGTCCCGTGTCCCCTGTGCCCTGGCACTGGGCCAGGCTGGGGTGCCCTCTGAAAGGAGCAGCTCCGGAGGGTGGACCTGCCCACCTTTCTATCTGCACAGGAAGAAAAGCGTAGGTACTGCACCACAGGAGGAGGAAGAACTGTCCTTTGTGGAAAGAGAGTCCCAGTTGGAGGATCTCGTCCTGAAAAGGCTACCCAATGTCATTGAGTTGGGCCTGTGGGCCCAGCAGGTAACAGCCACCTTCCTGTGGCTGGGTGGGTAGGAAAGGGCAGATTGTGGTCGACTGGAAAGTGCTGGCTGAGAAAACGTGCAATGTTTACGTTTTTAAAATCTGTGCCAAGAAAATCTGTCTGGGAATGGAATTCCTGGACCACCTAGGTTGGATCCTAAATTTACCAATGAGGAAAGAGACTTGGGGCAGCCAAATCTGTCCGCAGCAGGGTGATTTTAACCAGAGTCTGTCTTTGGCCACGAGGCAACGGCTTTTAGAATATTTCATTCTGACGTCCTCAGCTCATACCAGCCCTGCGCTCTGTCCCCTGCTCACCCGGTGGAGACACGCCATGACAAGTGTGTGTGTGTTTGTGTGTGGGGTGTCCTTATGGCAGGTGTGTGTGTTGAGCTACCTGTGTTTGTGCGCCCTTCACACCAAGGCCCACACGGCAGTGGCAGCGGTACGAACCCTGAGTCCATAAGACCATTTCCTTTTATCTGAATTGTGATTCCAGAAGTGAATAAATCAGAGCTCTCGAGTTGTCCCCATCGAGACACACACAGAAGGACACTCAGCCCTTGGAAGGCAGGCACGTCACCCGAGTGGGTCCAGCCGACGGTTTAGTTACCGGGGCGCCCGCAGCCCTGCAGAGCCCACGCTGGCTGCACCGGGCGGAGCGCGTCCCGGGCCGTCCCGGTGCACGCGGCCCCCGGGGCTCCGCAGCGCCCCCTGCCGAGCTCGTCCCGCAGGCCGCCGGGCCCGGCCGCGGCTGAGTCAGGAGAGCGGCCCGCGGCTCAAAACGCCTTTTTTGGAAGCCAGGCAGGCGCTTCCCAGGCGGCCGGAGCCTCGGGAGGTGACGCAAGCCCAGCCCGCGCGGCGGCCTCGGGACGGCGCCTGGGCGGCTGTCACCGCCTCCAGCAGCAGCGGCTGTGCTGTGAGAGCGGAGGCCGAAGGGGGCGCGATGACGGTGGCCGTGCCCGCGCCTCCCGCGTGACAGCCCCGCGTGACAGGGGAGCTGGGTCGCCGCCTCCGCCAGAGCCCAGGGCGGCCGCGGTCCTGCACCTGCCGAGGGCGGCGGCTGCTGCTTCTAGGGCTCTAGGACGCCCTGTGCCTGGCTGGCGGGTAGGAAAGGAAAAAGCCTCGGAGGCGATGTTTCTTAATAGGAAAATTACGAATCTTAATAAAAATAGGTGTGTCTCCTGGCATGTTCCTCCTCATTCTAGGAAAGGCACCCCATTTCTCTTTGGGGCTCGTTTCCCCCCAGTCGTTATCCTCCTGTTTGCAGGAGGGGCTGTGGCCCAGCCTGGCAGAGTGCGCCACTGGCTGCCGTGCGCACGGGATGGGGGCCACCCAGGTGTCCCCATGACACGAAGGGCGCAGCCTTGCTTCCTTCCCTCGAGGAGGGTCCACCTGAAGGTGATGCCACCTCGGGGGAAAGCAGACTCTTGCCACCGTCCCCCGAGGGCCCGTGTCCAGCTGTGCCCGCAGCTGAAGCCACTGCTGCCCTCCCAGCCAGGGCCGGCCTGGCTACACTGGCAGCATCAGGAGCTGAAGCTGCGGTCACCAGAGCCAGGCATCAAGTCTGGGTTTCAGTCTTTTTTTTTTTTTTTTTTAAGAAAAAGGCTGAAGTGCTGCTTGAAGGCCTCCAAAATTTGGGGTCCGTAAGCTTTGAGCCCCTTTGGGCTCTTTAAAGACCCATGTTTAAAAAGAAAAACGCACAACATTTGGCAACTCATTATTTCTGTGGTGCGAAGTACTAATAAAGACTTAACAGCGGTTTTATCTTTGAGCAGAATATTTCTGGCTTAGGTTTGCCTCTCTGTGGAAGCTGAGTTTGCTTCTGGGGAGAGGAGGCAGGAGAAGCATCACACATAATACAGGGAGTTCTCGTGGTCAGTTTATGGGGGCAGGTGAGGAGCCACACGGGTCCACTGCACACACACTCTGCCCCCAGACCTGCGGGCTGTCCTGTTCCTGCCTGTGGCCCTCGGCAGCCCCACGTCATGCCCCACCAGCCCCTTCCCACCACCCCTAAGCAGAAGGCACCCACAGCCTACCAAGAGCATGGGGACAACAACATAAAAGCATCTTCACGCTCATCACTTGGCCCGGAGTGTCCGGGTCAGGAGGCCAGCCAAGCCCTCTGCAGTGCGTCCCTGCCCACAGGTGACCCGGGCCTTGGAGTGGGACCGGTGAGAAGGCTGCTCTTCCGTGTCACCCAGAACTCGGAGCATGTATGTGCCCACGTAGAGGAGAAACTGTCCGGTCACCTGGGCGGAGTAGGACAGGAACCACATCAGGCTCCTGTGACAGAGGGAGAGCAGCATGTCAGGCCTAGGAGGTGATGCAAGCATGGAGGAGGACTCACAGCTGAGGGCTGGGCAGCCTGAGGAGCACACAGGTCCCAGGGGCTGGCGGACATGTGGGTGCTGATGCAGTGGGCTGGGCTGGAGCTGGTCTCTGAGGTCCCCAGGTGAGCCAATACCGCTAGCCTGGGACCAACCCCGGGCAGCATGGCCTCCCTGGGCCACTCCAACCCGGCCTGCATGGCCAGTAACTAGCAGGCCCTGCGCTGGCAGACTGCTGCCCCTGAAGAGCACACCCTGAACCCTGTGCGCGGCTGCACGGTGGCTCCAGCATGTTGAGCCTGTCGCCTGGATCTGTCGGACCAGGCTGAAGGACTGTCTTAGCAAAAACTGGAATCGTGGGCCTATGAGCCAGTTTTTGTGGGCAGCTGGCATATTCCAACTTGTTCCTATGCCATGGGAAGGAAGACCTTGCCCTGTGCTGGCCACCAGGTCCTGAAGCTGAGTCTGGCACTACTATTTTAGACTGAAAACAGCCGTAATTGAGGTTCTGTTCTACCTAATCCACAGCTACAGGATTTCATTCCAGTTTTTAAATTGCAGGACATTTAGCATGGCTGAGTTGTCCCATAGGGAAGTGACAGCCAAACCCGCCGCCCCTGGCATCCCACCACAGCCCTGCAGCCAATGATGGTGAATTTGCTGCAGGCATGAAGAAGCGTGCCAGTGCCACACTGCCAGGTAAGTTAAAGTTAACTGTCCTACAGGACAGATGCAGAGGGCACAGAGGGCTGAGAGGCCACTCCACAAACCAGGCCTGTGCCTCCATCGCTGCGAGTTCAGCTGTCATTACTTAGAATTAAGGTTTTAAAATGCGAAGCTCTAGCTCTTGAGAAATTGGTTCTTCTTTATATTTATTACTCATTTCCATTTCATATTTAGTGGTCTTTGGAGAGGGAAAAATCTGTTTTGGCTTAAGGCTTTCTGTTTTCTGAAATAGGCCTGTGGCATAGGAGCTAAGCTACTTTAAGACAACATGAGTTAGGGGACACCTAAAGACGGCAGGGACAGGTCCGCTGGGAGTACAGAGGAGCCTGCACCACGCCCCTGTGCAGTTTCCAGACCCCCCTGGGTTGATCCTTGAGTGTGTCACCTCAGTAGGCCCTTGAGTCCTGTGCACCGGATGTCATAGGACACTGAGTACATCTCGTACATGGTGGCCTGCACGTTGAGGCAGCCGATGAAGTCCTTGGGATTCAGCTTGTACAAGTCGAAGGTGACTCTTGCTATTCCTGATTTCTTCGGCTGCCGGCAAGCTGGGACATAATTACTACCCTATGATCATGAAGGGAGAGCAGACTTTAGAAGCGTTCCTAACTATGACATCCAAACTTCATAACTCTGGTTTTATGCTAGTTTCAGATTCCCCTTAATGTCCACTTAAAATCTGTTAGTGACTAAGCTGCTAATTATTTGAGTAATGTTTTTAGCAGACCAATATGCTTATCCTGCTGCTATGTCCACAAACATAAAATATCCTTCCCTAATCTCCTTTCCGTTTAGTGACTTGGGATGAGTCTGATTTGGCTTTGGAGCCTGGGTTTGAGTATCTCACTGCTCCATGAATGGTTGTGCTACTGACAGACACTGTGGAGGGTCATTCACACCGGTACTGAAGCCACCACTGGTTACTCGGTGACACGGACTGTCTCACCTCACGACTATAACACAGTCACAGTTATGGAGAAGCAGGCAGCACTATTTCCATTTTAGAAGTGGCTACTGGGCAGAAGGTGCCTGAATCACTTGGCTGGAGTGGGCACCTTCCCAGGGCGTCCCCTATTTTCCAGTCGCTGTGGGATGGAAGCTGCCTCCTTGGGAATACCCAGTGCTACTGTCTGCAGTATCCATTCTTTATCCACCTGGAATATCAGGAGACCCTGGAAGGCTGGAAGGAAGGTCGGAGTACTCTTTACTAGAATGTTCCCAGGTTTATAAATAGCACTGTACCAGAACCTTCCCCCCAAGAAGCTTCACAAACTCAGAAGAGAAGAAAGCTGTCCCAAGGCACAGATGCTGGGCTCAGGAGCTGCTCGTCCTAAGTGGTTTGCTCCACACATGGATCGTGCAGTTTCAGGTTCAAGTTCGGTAACTAATGGAGTTATCTCTCCTGAACCTTTGGGGTTGGGAGTAGTTGAAGCTACTACTACATTAATGACAATGATCTAAAACATGCATTCCCCTAAAGCACGCACAGCCTTCCTTCCGTAGCCATGTGCTCTCCTTAATTCACCTGCTCCTTCCACGCCGTGAGCGCCGAGAGGCCGTGGTCACAGCTGATGGCCACCGTGTGGAAGGTGCTGCTGCCTCTCGGGGACACTAGCAATCTGCCAGCTGGAAACACTGTTTTAAGAATTAGGATTATGGCATCAAAAGGGGTCTTGCCTATAACCCTGCCGCAGCTCTCTCTCACTGCCTCACATTCCTCTCTGACTTCTGACAGTTTATCTTACTCTCCCTGAAAGGCTTCCTTCAGTCTTGGTCCTGAATCAAAATTAACATGCACCACAAAGTGATCCACACCTGACCTGACATCTGACACGTGGATTTCCATAATCTGCTCACAGCGAGGCGATTCGCACCCTGCCTGTGGCCTCACAGGCTTTCGAGGGATCTGGACTGAGGAAGGGAGATATCCGCTGGCTGCACCTTGGTTGGAAGTCCTTGTCCTAGTCAAAACTGGCCTCGCTCTGATACGGGCAGCTACAGTGGGACAGGGTCTATGGTCAGCTGTGGGGTGCCCACATCCACACTAAAGGAACATGGTTGAAAAGTGCGAGTCAGGGAGAACCCCACCCAAACTCAGATTTCAAACGAGAAGTTCTTCCACCCTCCTCAACTGTGTCTGTCGCAGTTTATTATCTGCATCAGTCGCGTCGTGTCACGTCTGTGCTGCAGCTCAGCTTCCCTGCGCCCACCTCTCTGGGGGCTTGAACATGTGACATTAACTAACTGCTCCACGTTAGCCCAGTGTCTCATTTACAGAAACAAACACACACAAAATGCTTCTCCCATCTGAGGTGGTTTCCCGCTGCTGCTGTAACACCTTACGGGAATCTTTGTGGCTTAAGACAAGACAAATTTGTGCTCCCCCAGTTCTGGAGGTCAGAATGGCAGGGCCGGTTCCTCCTGGAGGCTGCGTGGCCGACCCCCAGTCCCAGAGGTGCCTGCCTTCCTGGGCTCATGGTCCTGCCTCCCCTCGACCCTCTCCTCTGCTTCTGGCCTGCACACCAGCCTTCCTGCCTCCCCTCAATATAGACCCATAGGGTGACAGTGGCCTCACCTGGATAATCCAGGACAATCTCCCCATCTCAAGATCCTTCCCTTCATCACCTCTGCCAGGTCCCTTTTGCCAGATGAGGCAACACAGTCACAGGTTTTGGGGACTAGGATGTGGACATCTTTGGGGGCCATTATTCTGGCTACCACCCCTGCCTCCAACAAAGAGCAGTACAGGCCAAGATTGTCATTTAAACGAGTTATCTAATTCACCCCATGATCTCCCAATCTACACACAGTATCCCCTCACCCGCTCCAAAAATACTTTATTTAAAATTTTATGCTTTTTATAATTGGTCTGTAGTTTTTTTCCAGTCAAAAAATTGTATTTTACCTATATAGGAGAATACATATAATACATGTAAAAATAAGGAATAATAGGACATAAAACAAAAAACACAACATTGTCAACCCACAGACATCCCCGTGCGCCTCTCCCCGACCTGCTCGCAAGAGGAAGCCACCCAGGTTGTGCGTCTCTCCCTTGCTGTTCTGTTTCTAGCACGTGTGTGTCTCAAACATCATACTGCCAATTTTGTGTATGTTTTGAATTACCTATAAATGGCTTAATGCAGAAGTTTTCGGCATGTGGCCTGGAGACACCTGGGGATCCCCAGACCCTGCAGGGACTGAGAGGTCAGCATCATTTCCGTAATACGAGATTGGCCTTATTTGTTCTCACCAGTAGTGGAGTTTTTCACTGCACATTTGGGAAGCCTCATGCTCAGTGGATCAGTTTTTTCTAAATGACCAATGCCTGGTGTTACAAAGTCATTCTTGGGGAAAAGATCCCTTCAAAGTGAAAGGCAGGTGGATGGGTTCAATGCAACAGAGGGGCAGACTTCAGCGGCATCTCCTCAGATTCCGCTCCACAACTAACCCTCCTGAAACCACCACCTGCCGAGTCCTGGGGCAGTGGCAAAGAGCCTCAATTATCTGAAAAGACTGTTAAAATCCTCCTTTCTTCCAACTATGCATCTGTGTCAGGCCAGATTTTCTTCTTACTTCCATCAAAACAATGTATTGCAATAGCTTGAAAACGGAAGCAGATAGGAGAATTCAGCTGTCTTCGGTTAAGCTAGGCATTGAAGAGATTTACAAAAAAATTTTTTTTTTTGTCTTTTTCCGTGTCTGGCAACGGATCGCAACCCTCAGTGTTGCCCCCGTACCGGACCAAGGACCGGCAACGGGATTGCAACCCTCGGTGTTGCCCCCACGCCTCGCTCAGCCAGTGAGCGGGAACCGGTCTGTATGTGGGATCCGAACCCTCAGGCGGGAGCGCCACCGCGCTTCCCAAGTGGCGCACTTATCCAGTGCGCCACCGGGCCGGCCCGATTTACAAAAATTTTAAAATTGTCACCCCTCACTCAATTTTTCTGTTTTGGGAAACAGCCTTTTTTTTCATAAAAATGTGTTATTAAAGTGAACGTGTATTGGGTTATTATTTTTAATGCATTAATACACATTTTTAAATTTCTCACCTTTAATTTCTAATATCAGAAATATCTATATCTATAGCTTGTAGTTTCTCAACCTTGGCACTACTGACATTTGGGGCTGGATAATTCTTTCTTGTAAGGGCAGTCCTGTGCATTGTAAAATATTTAGCAGCATCTCCAGTCTCTACCCTCTAGATGCCAGTCCCCTGCCCGAGTTGTAACAACCTAAAATGTCTTCAGACATTACAAAATGTCCCCCAAGGGGCAAAGTCTCCCCAGTTGAGAGCCTCTGATTGATAGATATCTATAGATTTTATTGATATAACCCACGTAAACAAAAGCTATTTGGGGTCTTCATTAATTTTTAAGAGTGTAAAGTAGTCCTGAGATTTGAGGACCATGTGTTTAATGTCATGTCCTGCAATGTTCTCACTGAGTGCAGTAGTGACATTCAGCCACGTGGATGCCTGTGCCTGTCCTCCAGCTTCACTTGTCTTCACAGCTCAAGAGCATCCCGTCAAGGACTACACCATGTCGTGTTGCTAGTGTGTATTTACACAGGAGCACGCTGCTGGCTCTGGGTGCATGTGCATTCCACTCTCCTGCGCTGGATATGTGGTTTGCTTCCAGTGTTTACTATCACCCACATGTGGACATGGGCACTCTGATACACATCTCCTGATAGGTAGGTGCCAGGGTCTCTTGCTGGGTTGTAGGCTGCACTTTGACTCTATGAGATGAAGGCAAATTGGTGTTTTAAATAGCTGTGGGAGGGAGTATAAGAGAGTTTGTTACTCCCTATCTTAAAAATGGAAAAAATTAAAAGTCTAACAATACCAACTGTAGTGATGTAAAATGGTAACTTACTGTGATCAATCTTCCTAATCTCCAGTGAGGCTGAGTATCTTTTCCTATGTTTTGTGGTCATTCTGGAGATGCCTGTTCCTGCCTTTCAGCCACTGTCTAATCGGATTGTTGTTTCCATAACTGACTACCGTGAGTTCTTTACATTGCTGAATATGAATCCTTTGTCAGGTGATGTTGAAGACACCTTCTCTCCACTTTGTGGTTTACTGTTTTACTTCCTTGTAGTGTCTTTTGATGAACAACATTTGTACATGAGTTGATGTATATTGTTGTTTTTTTTTAAGATGGCTATGCTTGGGCCGGCCCGGTGGCGTACTGCTACAGTGCGCCGCTTGGGAGCGTGGCGGCGCTCCCGCCGAGGGTTCGGATCCCACATACAGACCGGTTCCCGCTCACTGGCTGAGCGAGGTGCAGGTGCAACACCGAGGGTTGCAATCCCATTGCTGGTCGCGGTCCGGTACGGGCGCGACACTGAGGGTTGCGATCCGTTGCCGGTCACGAAAAAAAAGACAAAAAGGGAAAAAAAAAAAAGATGGCTATGCTTTTGTCTTGTTTTAAAAAACTCCTTCCCTGCCTTGAGGGTGCCAGAGAGATGTGTTAGATCTTAGTCACGTCTGTGACTTTGTGTTTCCCCCTCTGGTGTCTAGTGTTATGTCACGGAAACCTTTTTCAGACATATCTTCTAGGTCTTTTATTATCTTCAGTCCTGTCTAACCTGAGTGTCCATTTACTGTATTTTAATTGTCATATTTTTCATTTCCAGAAAATCTGTTTGATTGTTTCAAGTCTGCCTAGTCCGTTTTGGTTACCTCCTGTTCTTTCTTACTTTTGATTATCTTTTATGTTTCTTTGAGCATCTCAGATATGCTTATTTTATACTCTGCATCTGATGATTCCAGCCTCTGAGGTCTTTGCAGGCCTACCTTTATTATTTCTGCTTACTCTTGCCTTGAGTCCTTACTCTCACCTTGAGTTCTGTGTTTCAGTTGTGAACCCACATTTGTAAGAACTTTAGGCAAGGAAGCTCGCTGAGGCCTTGGTCAGTGTTCATTCCACGCTGATCTGCATTTGCTCCTGCTAGTAACTTGGAGCACTGGGGCTGGAGGAGGGACTCGTTGGGTAAAGAGAACCCAGTGAGTAAACTCCTTCCACTGACACTTCCTCCTGGATCTCTGTAAACTCTCAGCTGGGGAGTTTGGGACCCAGCAGTCACTAAACCCTCATGAAGGCAGCTTGTGGCTACAAATTCTAAGGATAGACCTTTATGATTCCCTGCTTTCTGTGGACATCTCCCATCTGACTCCCCATGTTGTGTCAGCATGAGACTGTCTCCTGTCCTCCCAGCATCTGTCAAAATCAAAGCCCTTGGCCACTGAGATCAGTGGCTGCCCACAGGTGAGATGCCCACAGTGGATGCACACAGGTAAGATGCCCACAGGTGAGAGGCCTACAGGTGAAATGCCGGTTCAGTGTTTGCTTTCCTCTCTGAGGTCTGACTCCCAGAAAGATTTTGGCCTCTGAGCATTTCTCCTTCTTGAAGGTCAGTTAGGGATATAAAAAGATATTTTAAGACTTCGCTTTATATTTTTAGGTCTTTTATAGTGGGAGGGTTTTTCAAGATATATAAGCTACAGTTTCCCCAGAAACAGAAGCCTTATTGTTTCTCCTCACTTTTCTAAATCTCTATATTCACACACATACTCACGCACGCATGCCCACACACACTCCTACCTCACTTCATTGGCTGCATTAGCCTGTCTGGCATCCTAAGGACAGAGACAACGAACAGTCACCAGGTCGATTCTGTGCATTTTATAGCATCTGTAGCTACTTGCTGGCCAAAGCCTGTTCCTCAGAATTATTTGCTTTAATAATAAGTTCATAAAGATACTAACTTGCCTGGAAACACTTAAAAGAATCCCCTTGAGCACAGGAGATCCAGTCATTAGGTGAGTACAAAGTACAGATGTAGCAAGAGGGTGAGGCGACACCCAAGCAGGGGTGCACTTTTGTAGGTAACCATCTACCAGCAGCCATTTGGATAACCATGGTTTGCTTACCGGTGTCCACTTCTGTCCTTCTTCCAAGATCATGAAATGTGTGTTGTCTCCTAAGGTCTGAAAGAACTCTTCTGTGTCCACCACGGTGCCATCTTCCTCCAGCACCAGAGTGACCAGCCCAGCGGTGATAACGAGGGCGTCCAGGGTCTAGGTGTGCAATGCATCAGAGAAACACAATGAAAAGCAATGCTTCCACCTGACCATCCAGTGATATAAAATTATAGTTCTCAGAAGTGCTGGCTGATTTTGCTAAACTTTTAATGGTAAAGGTGTACCTTAATTGTTATCTATGACTGAGTCTTTGCTTGGAAAAAGAGAACTTGGGATTTTTAATGGATCTATCTTCTTAAGAGACATGAGACAAGTGATTATATTGATAACATTGATAAGTTCTAAGATGACCTACTTACTCAAATGAACAAAAATAATAATCCTGCACGTATGACATTTGAAGAGCCTCAGCCTCGTGTGGCATCCTGCTGCAGAGACTGCGTGCAGGATGCTCAGTTTGGATGGGAGTCTGTCTGGGCTATGCTTCTCTGAGAGGCTAGGATTCTTCCTTATTTGGTGGTGTAGGACACTGTTTTAGATTAAGGCCTGTTCTGTCTTGGCCTTTATAACAAAAAACAGACTTCCAAAGTCTGCTGCTTCTCTGTACTCTTCCTTGTCAAAGAGACAAAGCTACATTATCAATTGATGACTACTTTTAAGGTTTGTGTCTCCATACCTAAATCCTTCTAAATCCTTTATGGTACAGAGATATAATACTACTTCCTTTGATTACTTATAGCCACTCTTTACCTCCTTAGAAATGTCTCCCCTCAGACTCTATGAAGCCAAGAGGGGGTCAGATGAGTCTAACACATGGTTTTTCTTGGCCTTTCTGTCTTTGCCCTGGCTTAGGACTCGAGACCACGGTCCTGCATGAATTCAGGGACCTGGAGGGGTGGCGGGAGAGCAGCCAGGTCCGCAGTACCTTGCTAAGCAGTTCCTGCAGGCTGCTGGCCATCACCCCGCGGCGGCTGCTCCTGTCGTGGGTGGAGACCCGGAAGGGGCGGGCAGGACGCATGAGCGGGGTGAGCAGGACCCTCTTGGTCTGTGATCCCATGAATGTCAGGGGCCTGCAAGAAGAGGTGAGAGAGAAAGAACGTCTTCTACACTACTTTCTAAAAACAGTCTTCAAAGAGAGGTTTGCAGCACATAGAAACAATACAATTTTAATATATTACTGAAAATTTTGTGTATGTGTATATATATATAATCTCCAAGGAATAAACAAGTAACACATCAAATTAAAAAAACACAACCATCCTTATTCCTATTTTATCAGAACACTCAAAGTCCTTGCCAAAACTGTTTCAGAAGGAGTAGGGACATCAGCTCAAAAAAAGAAATATGACTTACATTCTGCAAATATGTGTGGGTTTTAGAGCTAAAATAGCCAAGAAAATAATTTCTAGCAGCCATGAAGTAGTTAAGCACAGTTAGAGAATTAGGTACATGCAAAAGAACAGTTACATATTTATACAATAAGACTAAACCAGAAATTAGCTGGTCACTGCAGCAGCTGAGACAGATCCAGAACAGCAGAGCCACTCTCATAACCGTGCCCAAATAGCAAGACGGAAAAGGGCTTTGGGTCCACACCTACTGAAGAATTCATTCAAAGATTAACTATAAACAAGCAGTCACGTAGAAAAAGAAAACAACAGCAGCAAAACCAAAACAAGACAATTTTATGAGGAAAAAAAAAATCCCCAGCCCTTGATTACTAAAGTGTAGTTGCCTATGACCGTGAAAATGCAGTGAAATGGAAGGCGAACGGGAAACAGCCGATGAGCTGCTCACTGCTTCGGTCGGTACTTGGCAAACAGGTTCTGCTTTATAAATGTTAACTGAGTTCTAAGGAAACCCTGTGATACAGCCCTAGTTTTCTCAATTCATAGATGCGGGATCTCAGTCCAGAGCGCGGCCCACAGCTTAGAGGGGCCAGAGCTGGAAGTCAGCCCCAGGCACCTGCCGTGGAGGCGCTGCAGTGCTGGGAAACAGAACAGAAGACAAGTGCACGTCAGTCAACAGACGGAGCTTTGACAGCAATTAAAGAAATGCGAGACGACCTCTGACACACTGCTGCATGCCTTTAAACCAAAAGCAAGGAGTTCTTTAAAAGTAATTCCACAAGGAAAACAAATGCGCCTTGTCGCTGTCCCTAGAAAGTGGCCCAGCCTCCCTGGAGGCCAGTGAGCAACGCGACGAGGGTTTTCATGCAGGACTGTGGGTTTTTTCACATTTAGGAATAGACCCATAAAGAAATTATTCCAAATAATGAAAACAGAAATTAGCAATGTTCCAGGTCACACTTAGTGCCAGGTACTGTGATGAGCACTTTCCCCATAACCTCGTTTAATCTGCACTGCCCCCTGGGGACCAGCACCTGTACACAGCAGTGTCCCCACACCCAGCATAGCACCCACCTACTTCAGGGGCTCAAATAGTGGTTGATTATTTGGATAAATACTTGCATAAGTACATTCAAGAGAATCAAACAAAGGGCTTTATTTTTAGAATGACCTTGTATAAGACACAGAGTGAGCATCTCACTGCTTTCTGACGCTTGTAACAGTTTGTCTAGATTAACTCTCGAAGGCTAAAATCCTAGGGAATACCTGTACTGACTGCCAGTGCCTGTCACCTACGATGCAGCACTTCATTTATTCATACATACAAGCGCATGTGTGCACACACTCATTTATCTGTGCTTTATTTCCTAACTAGATTAAAATTTCTCTGTGGATGAAGGCTTTTTTGCTATATTTCCTATAATGCCTCGCTTAGTGCTAGGCCCCCAAGTTTTAGATAGTATGTTTTCTAACTTGAAGCTCTACATATGGACTCACATGAAAATTTGATGATTGATCGAGTAGTCTGCTATGAAAAACTGACAGTGTAGTAACAAACTGGCTCTCCAAAATTGTCAGGTTAAGTCCACGCTGCAGTTTGATCAGCCAGTTTTGGAGGGTTCTCCATTACAGTGTCTGCTTGTCCCTTATCCCTTTGCTTCGCCAACAAATTGGCACTCTGGTGTCAGACCTAGACTATTAGCAAGAATTTGGCCTGTAGTCTATCAGGCCAGCATCACACCAGTGCTTGGCAGCCGCTTACACAGAACACTTGCAATGGCCAGCAATGTGCTAGCTCGTCAAATACATTAATCGTCATGCCCTCATGAGGAACGTATTGCCCCATTTCACAGATGAGAAAACTGAAGCTCAGAGTGGCTTCTCAAGGCCATCCTTGAGATGGGACACGATCCCAGGTCTGTCCAAAGCTCAGATTTTAAAAAAATTTTTTGATGGGGGAGTAGGTTGGTTTGTTATCCCTTCTCTGAACTTCCAGTCTCAAGTGGTAAGCGTCCATGCACAGCACCGTGAGGAGCAGCTGCCCTCTGGCTGAAGGGAGAGCAGTGCATTGAGATCACACCCTCAAGTCCTTTCCCTTTTTAGGTAGACAAAGTCACCTCACGATTTGTTTCCAGTGAGATGATGCCAAGGGGAGTATGGTAGGTCGGGGTTCCTGCCCTGGGCCACCCTCAGAATGACCTGGGAGCCTTTAGCAGAGACCCACAAGGAAATCAGAGCCCTGAGCCGCATGCAGTGTGCTGAAGCAGCAGGGACTGGCGTGGAGCTTCTGAACTTTTGCCTTGACAGAGGAGTTACACCAGGTTCTTCGGTTATGCAACGCGACAGACAGGGTGTTCACGTACTGCTGAGCCATCCCTAGGGAAAGACCACGCACGTCCTCGTCCCTGGTGACCTGGTGCAGAGGGCAATGAGGACTGGCCAGCTTACGCTTCACATTCAGAAGCCTGGCTTCGTCCTCCACCCCATCGCAGTGTCTGAGACCTAAACTAGCTGGCGAAGACCCTAGAAGAAGGAGAGGAAGAAAGGCCCTAATAACTCTACAAGAGAAGACTTGGAGATGAGTAAAACTGAGGCCCAGGGAACTTGGGACACGAATAAGGTCAGAGTTTGCAAGTGCTAATAGGGGTCTGAATCCAGCTCCGATTCTCACACCAGGGTGCCTGCCTGACCAGATGAAATCCTTCCCATAGGAGGGAGCTTCTGAACCCTCACCGGCAGGAGCCTCTCTTCTCCCCCAAAGCAGGAAGTCATGGCCATTGTCCACCGGCTTCTAGAACCCATGCCCACCGAGGCCAGGGTCTATCTGCGCATCTTCTACTTCCCCACTGTTGGCTTGCCAACTATATACTGAGTAAAAGACAAGCTAGGACAAAATCAGAGAGAGGGGAGGGCAAAATCCTTGTGTCTGGGTGTTAGTTAGGCCCAGCCCCACTGGCCAAGGGCACAGCTTCGGCCTAGTTAGCTGCACCCCTGGGTCTACCTGTTGGACGAAGATTGCACGCCTCCGTAAGCGCCGATGCCCCAGTGACCCAGCTCTCTTGATCAACTCAGAGCTCCTGCTGTCTCTTCATGTCTGACAAGGTACGTGCTGGCAATCATTTCTGGTCCTCCCCGGCTTCACCTGCCCTCAAGAGAGACAGCCACCGATGATGAAAAGGACAGTGATCTATTGCTCTTCTTACCCACGACATTTCCTAACCAAGAACTGGGTCATTGCTGGAGAGAAGACTCATGGAGCACACATAAAAAATCACTGAAGACATGAAAATTAAATCCCACCATTCTAATCAAGGAGCAGGAGGAATGGTTTGATATGCCGGATGATATAAAATCAAGGCTACCTTACATGGAAGACATAGGGGGTTAAATGAACTTTTATGCATACTAAGCCTGTTTAGCAGATACTAGGTGAGTACTTACTCTGTTCCAGCTAAATGAACAACCAGGCTAAAGAGCTAACCTAAATGAAAGGCCACGCATTAATCCAACTCACTATCGGCCCACTGAATAAACAGAACCTGTCACTGGATATTAACACAGTGCCTGAAATGATTTGCTAATTCCCCCCTCAGTATTCTAATATACCAAAGTTAAAACAGGACCGCTGCGAAGCCTTAGGGTTCTGCTTTGAGATACACCCCACTTGAGAACAGCTGCTCCCTAATTCCTGGGAAAGTGGGTCCAGACAATAACTGGAACAAGGAGGGAAAAAGCTCGCTACAAGGAAAAAAGCCAGGAAACAGGTGAAGGAAATTGCTTGTTTCAGGGAAATCACGATGACAGCAGAAGTCTGACTTCACAGAATACTCATAGCATCGTGCAGAGTCATATCTCCCGGAAGCGAGGGAACACAGGGACGTCTTTATTTTCCCTGAGGGAAGCAGGGAGTCACCAACTTGTGAAAGCGTGTGAAATAGAGCGACAAGCCAGGACTGACAGGGGACACGAACTTTACTTTTCTCCAGTAAAATTAACCTAACCCCACAGGCCAAAAGAAACTTTCTTTATCTGCCACCCTAGGAACTGAGGTTTACTCTCCAGTGCTGGGGGAAAGGGAGGCGCAGCAGTAAGGTCTCAACTGCAGGGAAATATTCTGATGTTATGGTGATGAGGCGGCAGTACAAGGCCGCGTAAGATACTGCCTGGGAATATCCAAAGCATAGTGGTGGCCGAGGGACACCCACTTCATAGTCGGGTAGAGCAGCAGGAACCTGCAGGAGAGGATACAGGGCTGACAGGAGCAGGACATATGTGGACCAAGCGCCACCACCAGAGCCATGAGTAACGAGGACTGCTGGAGGGGAAGGGCTGAGACACATGCAAACAGGGTGGGTCTTGGGAAGCACCGGGCAGGCCTGCGTGGACAGTGTCAGAGAGTGGTGGGGTCCCACCCGCCAGCAGGGAAAGGGCCCGGCCGTATGTGACATTCTGACAAGCCCCCTCTGGCTCACGGCGGAGTTCTTACCAACCTATCAAAATGCTCAGTGTAATAAGCGTATTCAATGCATGGCCATGAAGTCTCCGAACACTTTAAAACATTATTAAAATAACAGTTTAGATTCAAGAAGCAGAAAGCTGGGAGATTTACTTATAGAAAACTTAATTCCTTACTAATGTCACTAAGAAGACGGTGACAAAATTTGTACAGTTGGTCCTCTGTATCCTCACATTCCCCATCTGAGTATTCAACTAACCATGGATCAAAAATATTTAAAAAAAAACCACACCAAAAAACATACAACAATAAAAAAACACAAATAAAAAACTATATAGTATAGAACTATTTACACAGCATTTACATTGCATTAGGTGTTATAAGCAATCTAGAGATGATTTAAAGTATACGGGAGGGGCTGGCCGGTTAGCTCAGCTGGTCAGAGTGTGATGCTGATAACACCAAGGTCCAGGTTGGATCCCTGTGCTGGCCAGCTGCCATAAATAAGTAAACAAATAAAAGTAAAGTGTACGGGAGGATATGCAGAGGTTATACACAAATACTGTGCAATTTTATATGAAGGACTTGAGTGTCCACGAGTTTTGGTATCTGTGGGCGTCCTGAAACCAATCCCCTTAGATACTGAGGGACAACTGTCCTGAAATCACGGCTGTACAAAAATTCAAGTTCTTTTTTCAAAGAAAGGAAAAATGTTCTAAATAGCTACAAAAGCAGCTAGGCTGCACAAAGTGTAATATGTTTCAGCTTTATACCAACTTCAGGGTTTGGCATGAATGTTATCACTGACAGGACACAAGAACAAAGCAGACTTTGTCCATGACAATCAACACCTGTGTGGACATCCTTGCTGTCCAGACCTTTGCAAAGAGACCTCAGGCTGCTCTCATCATGACTAAGGCCTCCAGTGATTACAGCTGATTAACAAACTAGTGACTGGTTTAAGATTTTATAATTGCTTCCAAGTATCTGATTTAAGAAAGAAAAAAATGTGTGTATTGATTAAATTACTTCCTTGGCGAAATGCAGTTATTTACTAATAAAAGACAGAGTTACGCCATCCTATACCTGGTAGTTTAAATTAAGGAACACCGAGAGGAGGCAGAAGTCCAGCAATACACAATTAACAAACGGGTCAGTACCCTGTATTTGGCTCTTTAGTCTGGACAGGGTTTTAAAGGGTGGGGAGAAAAAGTGTTTTCCTTTCAACAAGTATTACAGGTTGTTTTCTTCCAGTTCTGTTTGGAAACAGGTGGAGTCCAAAGAATTGCAGCAGCCCAGTCTGAAAGCAGGCAGATTTTCAAAGAACTGCGACAACAGTTTGTCCCTACCAAGTAGTCACTCACTCCTAGACCTTGCCAAGCTGGAGGGAAGTGTCTTAGGAGATCAGACACTCCATTTCAGTTTGGTTTGCCAACAGCTCATATGCAAGTGACTTCCACCTCTCAATGAACCCTGTGGAGTCCTCACACAGACACATCATGGTCTGGGAAACTGTTGTAATGGTAGATGCCGGGACAGGCCCAGCCCTGACTCTGCAGTCACTGCTTCTTCCACTGCTAAGCGGCAGACTCGGGACCGGTGGGTGCCACTCTGAAGGCCCCACGCGTTCCTCAGTGCTCAGGAGGAACCTGCAGAATGGGTGTGTTGATCACTGGAAGAAAGTCTGGGAGTGGATTGCGGGGTGGGTGGCGCTGGAAGGGGGAGAAGAGCACCAAAGAGCCAGGCACCTCTCCTCTACGCTCAGGAGTGTCCACCGACACAGGGAGCAAATCCGTTTCCTACATCCCTCCTGCCGCCTCCGGTTTTTTGTTTTTGTTTGTTTTTAAAGAGAAAGCCAGTGCCATCGAGAAAAATCACCTTTACATTTTGGCAGCTGTTTTTGTCACCTTGCGTATTTACTCACAGCTCGCCTTTAGGAGCCCGGGTCAGAAGCTCAGGCCAGATGCCGCTGAAAACCTGCATCCCAAGGGCGTCTCCACCCTTCCTGAGGTGCTCTGATGGTCCTCAGAGAAACACGGTCTGTCCCTTAATCTACACCTTCAGTTACTGCCACGCAATATCTTTAGGATTTTACCTAACAAGAATTGCTTCGGGTCTGCCAGGTTGACGACAAACCCAAGCAGGAAACAGCGATGCCGCGCCTTCCAGCACGAGCCGGTGGTGAGGCCACCAGAGCGGAGCGAAGGCTGCGTCGCGTCCGCCGGCCCTGGGCAGCGTCGCCGCCCTCGGAGGCGGGGATGCAGGGGCCGCTTCCCCCCAACATCACCTTACACTCCTGGGTGGGCTCAGAGGCAGGGGTCAGGGTCCGAGGCGCGTCCCTGGCTCAGCCCAGCCTCCCCTCGGCGACCCGGTCCCCCGCCGCCCTCGCCCGGCTCGCGTCGCGATCCCCAGGACCCGGAGGAGCCCCGTTCCCGCGCACCGTGGAGGCGTTGCCCAGAGTTCCCTGGACTGGGCCCTCGTCTGTCCCGGCGGCTCCAGCAGCGGCAAGAGATGCGGCCACTCCCGCCCTCACCACTGTCACCTGTTCCGCGGACGCCCGCGCACCTCGGGAGGGCCACACCTAACACTT